ATTTTTCTGAGAATTTTTCATATAAAAATACAACTTCTTAGAAATATTTTCCCAAAACCTCAGGTCATTTGAAGTAAAACTCATTAAGATAATGAGCTATGCACTGCGCCCCTTTTGAACCGGCCGAGAGCGGCAGGCAGGTAGCCGGAGCAGCTGCTTCCTTGCCCTTCAAATTTTATTGCCTTTGTAAATTGTTGTCCTTTGTAAGTGTCATGACAGAACGCGAGCCTACGTCAAAAAAATACGTAGCAATCGCTGACCTCGTGTCATCACCCCTTCGCTGTTGCCGCTGCTGGAAGCGCGTCTTTCATTTACGTACTTCAACATGAGACGTACATAGTTTTTGATTTTTTTCGCATTGACGCACCAAACCTAAAAATCTGAAAAAATTCATGAACAATTCTTGCGGCAATAAGAATCTATCATAAAAATATGGACAGTGTATCCGAACGATTTCTATGTGAACAAAAATATGTTTAGCACCTTCTTATTTTTCACGGTTACATTTTGTAACAAAAAAATCTGAAATAATTCTCAGATGTGTCCAGTTATGCTACGGACGTGTTGGAATTTTTTCAGATGAATAAACAACAAAGAAAAAAAGAGTGGATTGTCTGGGTTTCGAACACACGGAGCCTCGAAGACTCCGAGTCTCGAAGCGTCGAAGATTCCGAGCCTCGAGGAGTGAATTTAGAATTCGCTTGCCTGACAGTCAGCACGCACACACGCACGTACTGCGTCACTCGACACGCGCCCCTTCTTTTAGGAGATGCACGAAGCCGGCCGCGAGATGGAGCGCTTGTAGACGAATACCCTAGGCACGAGCATGGCAAATCTTATACGTATATTTTCAGCTCTCTTCGGCGTGTCCACTTCTTGAGGGGAGTAGTGCACAATCCCTCCTAAACTACGTCTATTTCCCCTTAAATAATGGACATTGACACTAGGGTGCGGTAGTGAGCCGTGTCCACTTTCGAACAAAGAAATGAGCAATCTCCCTTTTCATCTCTGGTTTATACACTGTTCATTCGCGTAGACGTGATATAGGTGGTATAGGACATGTCAAAACTCTATGCAAAGGTGCCGATCGTTGGTCGTTAAATAACGAAATTTCTTAAAAAGTCCATTTACGTTAAAATATATATTTGGGAATGATTCTTCAGGTTTATAAAACTTTTTGTTACACTCTTTTATGCCTAGAATGAAAATGTATAAATCTCGTTAACCTGTACAAGATGTTTGGAATTATTGTCAAAGAGCGGCAATGAATTTAACGTGTACACATTTATATAAATGGTTCAATATTAAAAATGAAAATATCTACCATTACAATATTACTATTTCTTCAATCTACTCGTAGTTAAATCGATCACTGTCAATGGTTTGTCAATGCTTTTTGAAACCGTGAAATGCTACCTCATTTTCATTGATACAACAACTATTTACATCTGTATAAACTGTCAAGTAATTGAAACAATTATCAATCGTCTTTTACGTGTTATAATCGTTAATACGACCAAGTCCAAATACTCATTAAAAGGCTCACCAAGAAATGTACTACGATATAATCAAGTTTCAGTTTGTACATGTAAAAGAAACAATTTTATCCCGTGTTTAGGATAAAAGTCAGTTTATATTCGAGGATAAATGGCCATGTATGCGTCCGACTATTTTAAAACTACTGAAACAGGAGCCTGTTACTCACGAAGAATGGCAAGACTTGTTCTTCGCCGTGCACGCAGTTTGTTTATGGAATGACAAAGAAGGTGCCATCAAATTGTTAGAAGCACTCAAGGAAGACATAATGGATTTTATAAAACAAGCGCAACAGGTATAATTTGTAAATGGAAAATGTAGGGCATTAAGAAACAGAAATCAACCTTTTTAAATACTTTTATAGAGAGTGCTAGCACACCAGGAAGAGCAAGCTTTGTTAAAAGCTTATATAGCTGAATGGAGAAAATTTTTTGCACAGTGTAATTATTTACCGACCCCCTTTAGACAATTGGAAATATCTCTCGTTGGCAAAGTACCTGCCAGTGTTCAAAAAAAATGTCAACCTGATGATATTGTCAGAAAAGTAAGGATTGCATGAGCACCACTCCTCGATACCCTTAATCCAACATTGTTCCTCTGTTATAGTTAATGTTGGACAGTTGGAATCAGAGTATATTCGGAGAAATAAAACAAAAGCTACAAGATTCAGCCATGAGACTCGTGAGAGCCGAGAGAAACGGGGAAGCATTTGATTCGCAACTTGTTATAGGTGTTAGAGAATCTTATGGCAAGTATCTTTCACGAATCTCGGTGACACGCATTACACATTATTTAGAATTATATTGGAAATTGCAGTAAATTTATCTTCGAATGCCACGGACAAACTTCAAATCTATAGAGAGAATTTCGAAGCAGCGTATATAGAAGCGACAGAAGCTTTTTATTGGATAAAAGCGCCCGAACAGTTATCTTTGCACGGTGTCGAGAATTACATGTGCTACGCGGATGCCAAGTTACAAGAGGAGGAACTCCGAGCGCAAAAGTATTTAGAACCAAACAGTGCTAGTGTACAGCTCTTGACCGACTGTTGTATACGTGTATTAGTAGCTACCTTTAAGCCAGCTATATTAGCAGAATGTCCAAGAATGATTCAGCATCGTCAAACGGACAGTGAGTCGAATTTGAATCGTATATTAATGAATTCCCCCGCGACGATGATACTAACGAGAAACTGTACAATGATTGTAGAGCTTAGATTAATGTTGAAATTAATGGATAAAGTTCCTGAAGGAGTCGGCCCGATGTTGAGAAACTTAGAGGAACATATAGTGAGCGCGGGCTTGGCCGATATGATGGCAGCCGTCGACGTTATTACTCAAGATTCCGAAAAGTATGTCGACAGATTACTGGATCTTTTTCGTCGGTTTTCGATCCTCGTTAAAGAAGCGTTCGACGATGATCCTCGATTCTTAACTGCTCGAGACAAGGCTTACAAGCTCGTCGTGAACGACGCGACGGTATTCAGACTGGAACTGCCCGCGCGTTCCAGTGCACCGATCTTGAACAACAAACCAAACAACAATAACGGGCAGCCCGAATCTAAATGTCCAGAGCTTCTTGCCAACTACTGTGATATGTTACTTAGGAAGACACCGCTCAGTAAGAAGCTGACTTCCGACGAAATTGAGAACAAATTAAAAGATGTAGTACGTATTTTACATCGAAATTAAATTTATAATGCGACAAATGAAATGTACATTTGATTCTAGCTGTTGGTGTTGAAATACGTTCAGAACAAGGATGTGTTTATGCGCTACTACAAGGCTCATTTAACGAGGCGCTTGATATTAGACACATCGGCTGATTCTGAGAAAGAGGAGAACATGGTCGTATGGCTGCGCGAAGTTGGAATGCCCGCTGATTATGTCAATAAATTAGCACGGATGTTTTACGATATTAAAGTATCGCAAGATCTTAATCAACAGTTTAAAGAACAGTGTAGAGCCGCTATTGCAGACAGCTTGAACATTAAAGTGAGCCGCTACAAATGATACTTGTTTATTTCCCGAATTGAAACGGACGTTAACGTAACTTGTCGTAGATATTAAACGCTGGTGCATGGGCCAGAGGTAGCGAGCGAGTCACTGTGAGTTTACCACTGCAACTGGAAGATTATATTCCCGAGGTGGAGGAGTTTTACAAAAAGAAACACAGTGGAAGGAAACTGCAGTGGTATCACCACATGTCGAACGGCACGGTAAGAAATATTTTGCCAAATGGATTTTTGTTGACAACATGTTTAAAAACGTTTTTATACATGTGTACATTCGTTGAGCCGCAAAAGTATTTGCAGTAAACGTGGGCATTAAATGGGAGGTCTTTAGAGATCTCTCGGTTCTTTTCATTTTCAGCTTCATTTTGCAACCAATTTGAGTGGTGTTCCAGATAACGTTCACCAACCAAGTGGGACGCTTCGACGTCGACGTGACCACGTTCCAAATGGCAGTTCTGTTTGCTTGGAATCAGCGGCCGCGTGAGAAAATAACGTACGAAAATTTACGCCTGGCCACGGAGCTCCCCGATCCTGAACTAAGGCGGACGTTATGGTCCCTGTGTGCCTTTCCGAAACTCAAACGTCAACTACTTCTGGTGGAGCCGCACGCACACAGTCCCAAAGATTTTGCCAACGATACAAAGTTTTGGGTCAATCAAGAATTCGCCATCATGTTAGTAATAAAAAGTATCTCGACTCGTGCGTAATGTATAACGCAATCGTTGACTTTTTTTAGAAAAAATGGAAAATTGCAAAAGCGAGGTAAAATCAACTTTATAGGACGACTACAGCTGTCGACTGAACGAAGTAAAGAAGAAGACAACCAGTCCATTGTACAACTTAGAATACTAAGGGTTCAGGTACGCTCTTTGTTCAGACATATTTTTATGTAGACGTGTCCAAGAGTTCTGACTCGTATTCTTTTCAATACAGGAAGCAATAATCAAGATTTTGAAGATGCGAAAAAAGATCACTAATGCTCAATTGCAAACTGAATTAGTAGATATACTGAAAAATATGTTTTTGCCTAGTAAAAAAATGATTAAAGAACAGATCGAATGGCTCATCGAGCATAAATACATTCGTCGACACGACGACGATATTAACACTTTTGTATATATGGCATAGAACGGGATTATGCATATATATATAAATGTTCAGATTCTTATGATTAATATTATATTTTTGTAAAAATTCAGTTCTTGTTTGTGTATGCTCAAAATTCCAATGTAACTGAGAGACGTGTTTATATAAGTCATGTTCACAATCTTCCTCCGAGCGTCAAGTTAACGTTGACAGAATCATATCACCGACAGCCAAAAGTACCCATTGTTGGATAGAAAACTATTGTAGTATTTAAAATAAAGTCCAAACGGAGAGCACAATTTATTTGATGCTTTTGTTCTATTTTAAAGATAGGGTATGTTTAACACGAAACCATTAATGTCTGCACACGCACGTATTTTTCAAATACAGTCATTTCCCATCAACTCGGTTGAATAGGTCTTTTTACAACAGTTTTCCTGACTTTGTTTCACATCTGCTCGTTACGCGAATCTAAGCGAAATTCAGAGTCAAAGAGATACATGCCGTTAACGCGTGACATCAATGAATTCGCGCATTCTATTATAATAACGTGTATAATCGAAACGTGTATAATATAAATGAAATTTTACACGACTGCGTTCGTATATTGCTGAATCTCAACATCGTAACACGTCGTCTGTATAAAGCGTTTATATATTGTTTGAAGAAGCGGATGATGAGTGTAAAAGTGAACAATTCAGAAATTAAAAAGCATCATTGTTTTATATAATCCGATGTATCTTGTTATACAAGTCTCAACCAATCGTCCAGGCGGAATGATCCTTGTGCAAAATTTAATCGTAGACGCAAGTTTTGGACAACATTTATTCACACAAAAGTAATTTTCTATAACATGTTTATAAATTTTTCAATATTTCTATAATAAATTAAATCTTACATCGATATGAAATACATTTCATTCAATTGTTATATACACTTCCATACACGTATCCGCGAAAATCACTGTTCCACAACCGAGTAGTAACATGGTGAACGATACATAAATCTTTCTGATGAAAAGAATTCCTCCTGAAATCGAGTTATACCTCGACTATTTTTTTACTTTAAAAAGATTGTTCATCTTTCAATTCCAATATACATTATTTGAAACAAACAAAGAACAGTAATTTTTTTACGTTTGCATCCTTATAGTCACATGTATGTACATTAAATATACATCAACGTTTATAACTGCCCTTAAACATGCACACCCACTTCCTAACAAATCGTATTCCCCCCAATTTAATCCTCTTCGGAGTTCACAGATAATTATTAGACCAGAAATTTAATCTCATTTTCCAACATCATAAATTGCATGTATCATCGTTAAAAGTACATTTTAACATTGATATTTCGAGTAAAACTTAGACATCGCTAATTTCAATACTCTTTTACTCTTTGATACTTTTAACATCATTTTTACAATCATAAGCATCTAACACAGTAAATTGTATTCTTTTTTTCTTTTTTTTTCAAGTTAAAAGAGAATAAGAATCAGTGTAAAGTTATCCTGAAATTTATTATCCTTATTAAATATTCGATGATTTTGTCTTTTTAAATTATCTCGTTATATCACGTATTTTTACTTGTTCGTAACATCAGCGTAAGATATTATTTTTATCTGAAAACAGAAAGACAACTTTTTGTTGAAAATAAGAGAGCACGTTTACGCTAATCTCGTTCTTGGGATACTCACATATATTCGTCTGAGCAAAAGACATTTACAAATTATTCCCTATGATCTTGTGGCCATAAATTAATGTACCAGTTTCGCAGATATTGCGGTACAACGACTGTTGAATATCATTGTTTGTAATGCCTCTAATTGCTTCTTGGATGGATAAATACTTCATTGTCAAAGGATGGACAACGTTCCTAACAAAGTTGCTTATAAATGTTCTGGGCATCGCGTACGTTGAATGCGTGGGACGTTCTGCATAGGATTCGATGCCTCGCAAGCGTGCACAACGATACCAGGTTGCCCCGAGCCTCCAGGATGTAATTCGTGGCTGCCTCCTGAAATTGATCATACAATTTACATGCCTGTATCATCTACAAATGTATAGAAGAATGCAGTCGGTACCTGCAGATAAATTTGCGATAGCTGCCAGTAAATCGTGATTGACGAGAGGTTCGTTCTCCTGTCTAGGCTCCCAGCCGATGGGCGGTGAAGCAGGAGGTGAAATAAGGAACTGTTTTGTGAGTGCCGGTGGTTGCAGGTGCTGGTCTTCTATGTCTGCAAGTTGTATCGTTTTCTCAAGATCGATGAAAACCGTTGTTTAACTGAGAACAGAGCGATACAAACCTATTGGGGTAACTGGTTGTGCAAAATAACAGTTGATGTCAGTTTCACCAAAATGAGCTTGATGCAACTGTATCCTCGCGTTTGCTGCGGCATTCGGATTATTATAGTTTACTCTCATTCTTCTAAACGATCTAAAGTATTGAAACGTAGCGTCTTCCCCAAATCTCTTGAAAAGCTCCTCTATTTGGGACTGTGAAAGAAAAAAAGTGCATAAACGTTAAAACTGTACTTGATTTTACCACATGTTTTCCTCACCTTCAATTCGTCGCTCTTGAAAACTCTGGCGTCTACATTTGTAACAATAACGGATGTGGGCAAGTCCTCGTCGTGTACTAGATCCTCAATGGATCTTACGCCTTGCGAATTTTCAGTGTGACTCTCGAAATTGGGATGTAAACTAGGCAATCCATCGACTTCGTTTATTATTATATTTTCTGAATCTTCTACTTCCTCTTCTTCTACCATGCACGAACTATGTTTCTTCTCCATGTTTATATCCCGCTGTACTGTAAAGAATAAAAGTCAGTAAAGCAAGGATATATACGTTTATTACCAGAAATTGATTATACCATTGTTCATCTATTAAACATGCACAAAATTAAGCAGATCCATCATAAACACAGCATGCACTTCTTTCAATCATTCACTGTCAAATTCAAACTGATCTTATGCCTTTAGCCTCCTGTTAACTAAAAAACGATATATTAATTACAAACTGTGAAAATGTACACATCACGTTGTACACGTGAAAGTGACATGTATATTTACGAAACGTGAATTCGTTTACCAAAATTTAATCTGAATCACAAAACATCCATAAACACCCACACTACTATACATGACCTTTGGCGGAAAAGTAATTAATCAGCTGACTGGACATGGATAATACATACCTGTTTTTCCGCAAGTGCCGAACGTATGGCACCTCCTTTCCAATAATTATCCAAGTCGGACACGAACCGTTCAATTAATTACTTGAATTTTTACATTCACTCTCTTATTTACATACATACAATTCGTCATTGTATCTATATAGCGACGTCACTATATTAATCGTTTACACATTTTCCCATGTTCCACGCGTTCAACTTGTTATTTTATTATGATCGTAATTTAATCTCTTCTAATCCTATATAGACAGTAACAACAAGTGAGTAGCAAGATACGTAAACCGGTATTAATAGAGTTTTTTAAAACAGCAGCTTATTCTTCTCCACTGTCAAACAGACGAGGAACCTGTCTCCTTTACACTACTAATGTGTATATACGTGAAATCTAATGAAAAGCTTTATTGTCGGAGAAAGTAGACTCAACACATCTACATCGACAAATTCTCACTGACGCATCGTTAGATGGCCTAATTTGAAGATGCGATTAGAATATTTGAAAATTCGTCTTGTGTCGATCTTCTTATCGAGTTCCCTTACTATGCACTTGTATAAAAGTATCATTATACATACATGTAAACCTCATGCATGCATGCACGTCATCTGTATTACGTCTATATCTATATGCGCGTATATATACAAGTATTTGTGAATAACAGTGAGCAACAAATAACAATGTCGACGATGGAAGGTTCACTCAGCAAATGGACAAATGTTGTTAACGGGTGGCAATATCGTTGGTTCGTTCTGGACGACAATGCTGGCCTTTTGTCGTACTACACGGTATGAATCTTTTGTTATTGCAATTAACAGTATTTAACAGTGTTTACTCATTCAGGTTACATCCCGTTTTCTATTCAAAAACTTACCTGGCGCTTGATTCAAGATCATAATTTAACTCGCATTATCGTTTGTGTTGAACATATATAAATCTCTTAGAAAACACTAATCATACATGTTGCTTTTTGCAGTGCTTTATTCGTTTGTCATAATCAGCTGATCCGTATTAAAAATAATCCTATTCTTATCAATGAGCCATCTTTACTTTCATATTATATCAATCAAGATTCAGCAAGTGGAATCAGTAATTTAAAGAAAAACAAGATTGCATAATTATAGCCATCTATCTGATACTGTATCGAATCTCGTTATCAGTGGTTTTTCGGTATGTTTTAGAGTAAAGAGAAGATGATGAGAGGTGCACGTAGAGGATGCGTACGTTTAAGAGGTGCTATAATAGGTATCGACGATGAAGATGATAGCACATTTACAATTACCACGTCTTCGTACAAAGATGATCCAAAAACATTTCATTTTCAAACAAGGAACGCGGAAGAGAGAGAACGGTGGATTCATGCTTTGGAAGACACTATATTACGTCATTCACACACTGTACGTGTGCATTGGTATAAACCAGAAATAAATATAATTTCATTCATTGCTCGGTAATATACTCGTATCGTTTTAGAGGTGGGACCCTAAAAAGTCCCCTCCAAAACAGGACTTTGATCGTAAGGTAGCTGAAGCAGACGCGTATCTTCAATTATTGATCGATCAGATAAAATTAATCGAAACGAAACAGAGAACTGTCGCTGCCGAGGACGAGGAGAAGCAAGAGAAATATGCAGCAGTATTGACCCAAGCCAACGCGATGCTTAATTCTGTGAAACATACGATTGTCCAATTGCAAATTGCCAAGGTAAACGTTTGACACGATCGTCATATATCGCATTATTAATTGCACCGTCTGTGATATTTTTAGAATACAGCGATACCGGTGAATGGAATATATAGAGGACCCTCGGATGCAATACACGTTTCATCTCCTTTGGCTACGAGAGAACCAGAAACAACTATTCAAACTGGGATTGAATTAGGCTCTGAATGTGTAGAACCGAGAGTACCTATATTGTCTAATGGTAATTTACAACGTCTGTTATAAAACTGTTTCTGTTTTTACTAATTTTTTTATCTTAAAGCTGTGGTGGGCAGAGATCTCCCTGTGCCACAGTTCTCTTATTCTTCTTCGGACGAAGACGAAGATTATTACGACGCGGCTGACGAAATATCACCTCCTTCCGCGCAGAATCATATCACTATGTAAGTATTTCGAACGGTTTTATTTCAATAGATATTTAAACATGATGTTGCATAATGAACAATTCAGTAGAAAACGGGATAGCGAACGTTCGCAATCACAGGCGGACGTATTGTCAACCGAAAATCGGAAGCAGCCTCCGTTGCCTCCGACGAAAGGCGATGGATCGCTCGATTACGATGGTAAGTAATAAATGAATATTTATATTCGTATTTAATGCACGTTAAATAAAGCGTTTCTATGCAGTTTCATCAAGTATTGTTTCTTAGATTGTCTCCTTACTTATTTTACGTTCACCCTACGCTTCAATATAAAAGGATTTTAATAAAAATGTTGAATTGAAATACATGCAACTGTCATCGATATGATTATTTGCCACGAATATATCCATATTATAAATTGATGTAACTTCAAACAGACATACACGTCAAACGTTCAATGTATTCGTTATCATCGATAATACAGTCGTGTAGCAGCCGACGCGACCTTATCCGCAACCGCGATTATTGATTTTAAAGAGATTCCCTTACGCGACACGTGAACAGTTGTGTTATCGAGACGTTGCACAGATTCTTGTCAAATTGTTAGTTAAAAATCAAGTTTCAACGTTTCAATAGTATGGCAGAGTTACGGAAAAAGATATTTAATCAGCCTCTTACGGTTTACCCCTGCGCGAGAGTTATGTTTCTCAGAAAACGATGTTCGTGTCGCGTATAGTCGGGCCCATATAATGAATGTTATTTAGGAATGGATATTAGTTGGTATTTTACAAAAATACAACATGTTGGGTGCAGGCACAAGCAGTAAGTTTTCTTAATTAATACGTGAATCGCAATCATTCATCTATTATTATACAAATTTGTGACTCTTGATTATTGCTATACAACTGTGTGTTCCAGCCCTTTACGAAGAGGAAAGCGAAACAGAGAGTTAGTACATTTCGTAGTAATATTTAATTCGCTTATAAATGATCGAATATAATCATGTTCATTTACTTTACAGTGGATTCCATGGAATCTCACGGGTCCGTTGTAACTCATCTCTTGTCCCAAGTAAAAATTGGTATGGATTTAACAAAGGTAGCATTGCCTACATTTATTTTGGAACGTAGATCGCTTCTTGAAATGTATGCCGATTATTTTGCTCATCCAGATCAGTTCGTAAGGTAAATTTCGTTGAATAAAATAATCAAGTCAAGTGATACATTGCAGTATTCAATATTTCAGCATAGCAGACATGTCAACTCCTAAGGATAGAATGGTTCAAGTAGTTCGTTGGTATTTATGTAGTTTTCACGCTGGTCGCAAATCAGGGGTAGCTAAAAAACCATATAATCCGATATTAGGCGAAATGTTTCGATGCCATTGGGACATTCCCAACGAACCCGTAGATAGTTCAAATTGTACAAAGCTGGTCGCCGAAGGCCCCGTGCCTTGGTGCAAAGAGAATCAACTATCGTTTATCGCAGAACAAGTTTCTCATCATCCTCCCAGTAAGTTTTTCCACTTTCTGTTTAATACGCTACTCGGGAATGGTTCAAATAATTCTTCGTTACAGTAAGTGCATTTTACGCTGAACATTATGCGAAGAAAATTAGTTTCGGGGCGCATGTATGGACAAAGAGCAAATTTCTTGGATTGAGCATAGGTGTGCACAATATTGGCAAGGGCTGGGTGAACGTAATAGAACACGGAGAAGAATACGTATTGACTTTCCCAAATGGTTACGGTAGATCCATTCTCACTGTACCGTGGATAGAATTAGGTGGAACCGCGACTATACATTGCGCGCAAACTGGCTTCAATGCCACCGTCGATTTTTTGACAAAACCTTTTTACGGTGGTAAACGTAATCGGATCACGTGTCAGATCACACAACCGGGGGATAAGAAACCATTCGTCGTCATAAACGGAGAATGGTGCGGTGTCATGGAAGCGAAATGGGCCGATGGAGTACGTACGACAAGTGGCATATTTCTATCTCATCTTTCTTCATCTTATAAACTCGTTCTGCGCTCTTTAGAGAACCGAAATGTTCGCCGATGTTAGAGAACTTCATACTCAACGAAAATTAGTAAAGCCTGTTTGCGAACAAGAGGAACACGAATCTCGGAAAGTCTGGCGAGACGTAACCGTCGGATTAAGGATCAACGACATGGAAAAGGCGACAGCGGCTAAAAGCGCGATCGAACAAAAGCAACGAGACGAAGCACGTATCAGAAAAGAGAATACTGTGAATTGGCAAAACAAGGTATGTGAGCTACTCTTTCAAGATCCGACATTTTCTTATCCCCTATTTGGTCAAGGTATTTTATGAGGATTTATCTTTTATCAGCTCTTCAAAGAAACCAAAGACGGTGGTTGGGTGTACATGAAACCTCTAGCAGATAGATTACACTCTTATTCCGATTAAATGACTGTAAAGTTTGTAATGATTTATTCATTCGATTTAGTTACTGCACAGTAATAGAAATTTAAAGGCCTAACACACGATTAATGATCGATATTCCCCATTTTTAAGCCTAATGACTCTGTGCTATTTGTGCGAAAGAATATGAAATTGAAAGGTATTACAAATTCTTTCGTTTGAAATATATTTTTCTTTTCCTTTTTTTTCGCACGAAACTGATCAAGTACAATAGCAAGTATTATAACATTGTACTATATTGGGATTTCATTGAAAGATATATACGATAGCGGACGCTTAAGAGCAAACAAATTATTTTTTATAACATAGCGGTAGTCACTTTGTTCGAACAAGAAAGAATCGCATAATGTCGTGCCATGTACTATACGTCAACGTCGTCGCCAAGTTCATGTATGTATGTTAAAAAGAAATACAGATATAAAAGTAACGTTCAATTGGGTCGTCACAATTTCTGTTTCGTTGAGATTAAAACTGAAGTATACGGGAGAAATACGACGAGAAATAAGTAAATGTAATTGAGAATTAATTAACAGTAAGAATTTGCAGAACCCGTTCCTTTAACGTCCTTTGTCTATGTTTTCCAGTACTATGTATGATTTTATTTTTTCTAGTTAGATAAACCTGTTTTCATTCCGTGATGATCGTGCGTTATTGGGACTCGTTCTTAGATATTTTAAATGATTTTTAGGTGGTATATATATATATATATATCATGGTTCATAGATTTAAAAGAGGTGATAATTGTATTGATAGTTGTAAAAATAATGACTCTGATATAGATATTACATGTATATACATATAGCGGTTTATTCTTTTTATTCAGACGTTAACATTTGTGAAATGTAAATAATTCCGTAGTTAAGGTTTTCATATTTTTTAATTGTTTTCCAATTAAACATCAAGTATTATAACGTCTCCCAATGAGATTAGTTTCGATTTCATTATAGAAATTAGTGGTTGATTTTTTATATTAGTACGATTGAAATGGTGGTGTATAATTTCTTAAATTTGTTTTATCTGAATGGTAGTATGTAGATTAACATTGTAACATATTTTTATTCAGCACAGTATGTAATATAAAGAACGAATAAATATATGTACATTTTTTATAAAATAAAATTTTATTCATATACTTCATTGGCAGGCTCTCGACGCAAGTTACATCGTGTTCGATTACAGAATGTACGTATAGAAATTCATTATCGTCAATATCCTTACGACAAGGAAGACCTGATCAAGTATCAGGATTGTCCAAGTATATATATCCAATGTAAAAGTCAGACGCGATTCTGTGAAGTGGTGGAAATCGTTTCGTAGATGTTAACAAATGTTCCAACCCTGCCTGTATTACTAAGAACGCGACTTCGCAGTACGATTTATTTACAGACTCGGAAACACTTTCGTTCGTTCCGTACTTGTAGAGAACTTTAATGACTGATACTTTTTGCAAATTTACCACGTTACACGCGTCCTTCACTTTAGGCTCGATCATTAAATTCAAGTACCAGTCCATCGGTTTTAAAACGAGAGAGTGAGTTTCTTTACCCATGAAACATTGAAGAACGATCTCTTCACCGAACAGACCAGTCATCGAAGTCGAGATGGCCATTAAGAAATCGTTAAATGGATCAGTCGCATTTTTCGTTTCGGAGCTATTTAATAAATTGAAATCGAGGGTACAGCTCCATAATTGAAGTGAACTGTCCACGTGAACTTTGCCTAAGTATTGCAAGCATCTTTTGCAAATCACAGTATCCTTATCTATCTTTATATTCTCGTTAAACGAATTTCTATGAACAATGAAGAAGAACGATCCATAGAAAATATCAGATTCCGATGGAGTCAAATTGTGAGCAAAGTTATTGTGATTGTGTTTACAGCAGAACCATTCGTTTGGATCGTAATTATTGTCTGGTATAGGCAATGTTCTTTTAACGTGCATGTCCTTGGTGAGGATGCATTTGCAGCAAGAACACATTACGTTACATTTGTCTACATTGAGTAAGTCAATATTCTTTATCGAGTTCTTTAAACTGTCGGTATTAAACGTCAAGTTGGTTATTACTTGAGTATTAATAGATCCAAAAACAGACTCAGGCTTTGTTTGCGCGCGAAAGCAAATCCAGTTGTTTGTAATAGTCAGTGCTGACAGTGAATTTGGTATCAGTTTTACAAACTCTGTTAAAAATATGTATTTATCGTCCTCGACAGTCGCTTCTATACTCTCCTCCAAGAGTTTTATTTTAATCTTTGCTGCGTTTACTCGTCTAGTCAGATGAATGAAACCATTGCATATCTGAAGCCTAGGTCTCAGCTCCAACGTTATGCATTCCATCGTATTAAATGAATTACAATTTCTTAAGCCTAAAAAGAAACTCTGACTTTAGATTACTACATCTTACATTTAAATCGAATAATGTTACCTTTTAAATACTTGACGTAGCATAAATCTCTTCGCAATCCACATGAAACTGGAGTTCAAACATCTTCTACCAGTTATGTCAATACACCTGATGGAAAATAAAAATATGAATTAGTATAAACGAAATACAATAAAGTTACATGAAAATGTAATAATTACAAGTGTTAACTGAACGAGTCTACAATGGAATAATTTTTTAGGAGTGAAACCTATAATCTATTACGGCTGTAGGCTGGATACAATTATTTTAAACGTCAGCATTTTCGAATACTTGAATTGTATAAATAAATGCTTGCAATCCATAATGTAAACGAATTTCCCTTTTATAACAGACCACGTGCTATTTGTGGTGTTTGTATATATGATGTCGTTGAATCGTTCAGTTTAAAGTCTTTTGCAACAGCTGGCGCAGTTACAGAATCAGCTGAATTCGCCGTCGATAATAACGTGCGTTCAGTGTCTGATAATTTTTAATGGAAAAATGGCAAGCCATTGTTGTAAATGTGTTATTGAGACAACAAAACGATTGAACACTCAATAGACAGTCGACATTATCTCTTCGCGGATTAGATAAAAATTATTTCTAGTCAATTTGAAAGGATTGATCGTACGGGCTTCGTACGATAAATACATCGTGCCACGTCGACTTCGTATTAGCGATTACTGCGATGGCATCTCAGGTAAATAAAATTTAACGATCAATTAAAACTAAGTAGGGCTGAATGCTTAATATAAATTAAAGGTGTACGAATTCAGTGTTGAAATGACGTGCGAGGGATGTGCCAATGCTGTGACGAATGTACTTAACAAAAAAGAAGGTATGGACTGATTATGGTAGATTTTACAAATGTTTCATGCAAGGCTTAGTTAAATTAATTCGTTTTTAGGTGTGAACGGTGTAGAGATAAACCTACCAGCGAGAAAGGTACTGGTTACATCTGCACTGCCTTCTGACGAGATATTAAACGTTATCAAGAAAACTGGAAAACCATGCCAATTCTTAGGGATACGAAAATAATAATTAGTATAATTTACTTTTTATAAAAACTCATGTATTACGGGCAGCAAACTATACACGAAACGATCACTTGATAAGCTGATATTTTCTATTGAAATATGAATTTATAAATAAAAGACAAAAATTTATTTTCTTAATTCTTCTTCTAATACTGACAAGCGCTGTTCTAAAACGGTGACAGCGTCGCTTAGTGATTGTACTTGGTCGTTAAGTGCATGTACTACTTTACAGGAGTATGCACTGGGAGACTTTTTCGGTAAACTTGTTACATTGACGATCCGACCTTCCTCGACGGGTCTTTGATTTCTAAGATTTATAACTTCGTAGCCAACTTTCCCGTCTAACACTCCAGCGTTTGGTACCTCACAAAATGGCTTGTCACTCTGTATATTCAGAGTATCAAACTTCTCATTTATCGACTGGAAATCGGGAATGTTTTTAATTCCAAGGAGATATAAATTAAATATTAAATTACAATATTATAATGAATGTTACTTCGATATCTTCTTCTTCTTCTTCGGACGCTTTGGTTAATATTTCATCTTCGATATCTAATTCCAGTTCTTTAACTGGTGAGACCAAATGTCTTGGTATTTTGCGAGCAATATCGTCTTTGTCGAAATTCGTTTTCCATATCAATAATTGACGGTCTGCTCCGCCGGAGGCAAAGAACTGTCCATCAGACGAAAATGTTACAGACGTTACACCAGTGGCGTGACCTTTCAATGTATAAATTGGACGACCCTCTAATAAATCTAGAACCTATTATACGTTTCTTAATAAATCGTACAAGCAGTACTTGAAAGTATCAGAAATTATAATATACCTTCATCGTTGAATCATCAGATGCGGTCAACATGAAATTTCCTTTCGGATGAAACTTGATCATGTTCACAGGACCATCGTGGGTCGGGTAATGCTGATATAAGGAAGCAGTACGCAGATCGTATAATTTTGCACAGCCAGCTGTGTTCGCGGCTCCGATAACCGAGCCACTTGGATGAAATTCGACGTGCGTAGAATAAGCTAATACGATTGTTTAAACTTTATTAAGAGGTACTTTTAGAATTAGATAAAGTATTCACAAACTCGTACCTTTTATATCATTAAAATTCTTAATGCATTGTCCACTGATGACGTCCCATAATTTGATTGTCTTATCGTCGCTACAAGAAACTATAAGTCTACCATCTAAAGAGAATCTGGCACATCTCACCCAACTTGTGTGACATACAAATGACATAAGGAATCTTTTTTGACATACTTCCCATAACTTGACACTCTTGTCATCTGACGCAGTGACCAACTGCAATAAAAAATAGATGTAGGAGATAATATAAATCAGGATTAAAATATGAGTACCTTCTCTCCGTCAGGACTGAATTGTATTGATCTAACAGCTCCTGAATGTGCCTTAAAATCTATGCTCTGTCCCGTCACCTTGGGAACCCAAATTCTAACAGATCTGTCTCTCGAAGCACTGGCTGTGACTTCTCCTGACGGTGCATAAGCCACGTCGAACACGACATCCTTGTGCCCAAAAAATTTACAAGCCCTTACAGACTCCCTTAAATTCCACAATATTATACTCTTATCTAAACTACTTGAGGCTAAGTGAGTAGTTTCGGGATGGAAACATAAACTTGTAATAGCATCTTCATGGCCTTTAAAGTGTTTATCTATCGTAGGATCGCAAGCAGTTTCAACCATCATTCTGCAATGAATAAATAGATCAGTACAAAAAATTAGAAATAAATGTATTAATATACGTTCGAGAACGCGTTTACTCTCGTGTAATTATGTGCCGGCTTTAAGCACGTGCTAGCCTTACAAAAATATTCGATTACCATTCAGTTCATCACGTTCACGATTAAAATTATAATAACGTTCATAATTATACGTTTGTAATACGTTGGTTATTGTTGATTATGTACAAAATTGCAACTATTAAGCAACGAAATTTTTTGTGTCTGTCAACGTTCGCTTCGAGCGTAGAATCAAATGGAAGGGTGCCGGAAATGAAGGGAGCGCGAAATTCATTGCGCTTCAGCCGTAAACACGTAATTTAAATATCTTCCATGCTCTTAAATAAAATGAAAATAACTGAACAGACAGAATTACTGAAATTCGATTAATCAAATATTTTATTCGATTTTTTTATTTGAGAACAAGCTTAAAAGTGAAACGTTTCCTTCCGTGCTGACAATGAGTACGATAGGTAGGCTAGTTAGCAGGGTTGAATTAGATCTTTATTTGGAAGATACATAAGTATTCATAGGATAGTTGAACATAACTGTAGATGGAGGTGATTAAACACAAATGTACAAACGAAATACAATACGGTACTCCTCGTCGTGTGTTCGGTGTGGCATGAGCGCGGTGGCTCTCGTCAACCAGTGCACTGATTCAACGCACACCTTTCTCATTTCTTTGCCTCTAGTCAGTAATTGTACACTCGACTTACATGCTAAAGCTTCGCGCTATCGCTTCCATTCTTTTTTTTTCTTTAAAAATAATCGTATATATTTTGCGATAAAAAAATCAGGTAATGTTTGGTTGATAAACTTGACATTGCACTGCAATCTCTTTTACTTGGCCAGTTGTGTAGGCGACCGTGAAGAATTTTGGAGTCGTACAGAAAAAACAGAAGAGGGAGCGACGGCGTACGTGGTAATTAATCATGAAAGACGTCCCGTGTAAAATATTCTTCGAGAATCGCGTGCGTCCACGTGGGACCTTTCATCTCCTCCTCTCCCCTTTCCCAAACTACTAAATCTCGAAAACTTGAACTTCCTAAATGCTTCGCAGATTCATAGACCGAGAGTGGAATATGAAGTCAAGAAGATAATAGCACTAGAAGGCATTGCTCACTGTATCCTCTTTTTTCTGTTATCTTAAAAAATTCTCTAGAACGATGCGCCGCAAGACAAAGAGATGGTCGTGCAGTTCATCTATTCGTGTAATTACTTTAACGTTATTCGTTAAATACAATCTTGTGTGTCTTCGCGTGAAATGCTTGTATGAGTTCTCATTTTTTTTGTATTTTTTATAATAAAATTATTTTTTTCTAATCTTTGTTGATCAGCTGTTGTTGCCCTGTGAAAACTGCCTTCTGTCACAACACAATAATACTTGCATGGTGGGTTCACGCTTCTAAATTTGGTTGATCTCTTCTTATATCACAATGTTACGTCTGTTTAACTTTTTCTTTTTTTTTTCATTAATTATCGATCTTCTTCTCGAATGAATCTTAGATACCAAATTCAAATGCAAAATTTTTGTATTCAATGTCTTATTTAGGAAATATCCTAAGCCGCGAGAAAGGTGTCAAGATTACAGTACAAATAAAATGTCAGCACCTTTCATCATTCGTGTTACTTTTTTTTCATCAATTATTCATTCGTATCCTTTTTGTAAGTTTCACAATAACTATCGAACAATCTGAAACGGTTGAAATTGCTACTTGCACATTATTAAAATTAACGTATTTCACTTAATATAAAACGTCTTCCCCAAGTCTTCCTATATCTTCAAGATACGACTTAGGTTCTTTCGTAAATAGACCATTGAATTCTGATCTCACAACTTCGTTTATGTTTCACTGTGCATTAATTCTATCGCGTCTTTTATTACTGCTGCGTATGGGGTTTACCACGGGATGTGTAACCACCTCGATTCCCTCCTCTCTGGCTACGGAACTGTCCTCGGCCACGAGCATCCATACTACGCTCACCACGTGGACCACCCCTTGGTCCGCCGCCACCTCTCTTGTAACCAGAATTGTAACCAGTGTTCCCGTCACTATTACCCCAAGATCGTTGTTGATAACCGTTTTGGTAATTACTGTCGTTACGATAATAAGTTCCTAAAAGCAAGATCAGTATTTAATCATATATCGGCTGATACATCATCTATCTCATGGAAAGCATCTCTTACCTTGTCCTCCGCGACCATTTTGCTGGTAACCGCCGCCCCTGCCTCTTCCATTGTACCCGTTGGAATTGCCCCTTCTTCCGCCTCGGTTTCTATATCCACCGCGTTGCTGATCGCCCCAAGCTTGTTGGGACGTTTGCTGCTGCGTCTGTTGCGAGTCTTGAACGGATGGTTGTGACGACTCGGTTTGATTCCACTCGTTCGAAGATTCGGTCATTTGACACCAATCCCCAGATTCACTTGGCTGTTCCAATTCAGTTTCCGGAGCTGCCGTCTCATCCTGATTCTCTTTAGCCTTCTCCTAACGAGAAAGAACATTTCATTCATTCATTCACATGTTCAATTAATTATGTACGAAATTCGTATGTACGTAATATACCTCGACAGGTTGCTGTTGGTTTTCTTGTTGATGTTCGAAGTTCTGAGCTTGCGGCTGTTGGGCGATTTGTGGCGACGGAACTTGCTGCTGCTGCTGCGGTTGTTGTTGAAAATTGGTAGGATGCTGGGGACTGTACTGCATGCTCGGTTGTTGATGAGAGGGAGGCATCGGAATGGGTGGAGGCGGGTTAGGATTAGCAAATCCAGGAATCTGGGTCATGTCCTGTGGCGGCTGATATATAACTGGTTGTGCTACCACCGGCGTATTCGCAAAGTTTTGATTCGTAAACGTTTGCGAAGGAATAGGTGCGTTAACAGCAGCAGGAATGTGTGAGACAATAGGTGCTTGCGATGTAACATCCGGTGAATCGAGTTCCGACTCTTGCAAGAAAAAGAAGTTCGGTGTGCCGATAACGTCGTTGATCCTAGGAGCTTGTGGCGGTTGTTGTTGGGCCTGCTGAGATTGCTGTTGCGGCTGCGGTGGAGGAACAAATCCCGTGGCGTTTGTGTAGTAAGAGGTTTCAACCGACGTGGCTGGATGTGGTGGAATAGGTTGCGCCACTACAGGGATAGGGCCGGAAACTGAGGTAGTGCCAGAAACAACGGGCAGAGGAGCGACTTGAACTGGAAAATTAGGAATGGGAATCATGGACTCGGGTGGAATGTGTCTATCGTTGCTATTGTATTCCTCATTGACTTGATCTTGTACAGGAGTTTCCGTTACTTCAGTCTCTGCAACGACTTCCGTGACCTGTAAGGCAAAATAAATTAATGAAATCAATCTCGTTCATTTAACGATGCTTTAAAATCACTTTTAATCAACTACAAGAAATATGAGACTTACTTCTTCTACTACAGTCTCAGCTTCGTGAACTTGATCAAAATAGCCGCACTGAGTTATAGAAGTAATGATTTCCTTTAATTGTTTGTAGGTAGTGCCAACGACTTCTCTTTGTTTCCCATCGACAATAGCAACGTAATGTTCCGCCACCTTTTGTACTTGCTGAAGAAACGTTGGCTCACCCTCTTCCCTCTGATGTTTCATCATAACTTCATTGTACAAGCTATCCAAGCACTTTAAATCTTCTTCTGTCAATTTCACAGCACCATTTCTTCCAGCAAGGAAGTCTTCTCTAACAGCCGTTGTACCCATGTTCATCAATGCATCTTGGATAAGGAGAACTTCTCTCACCTACGACCAGTCACCATAATTAACGAAATCACATAATAGTAACACAGGCATGTCATAAGCACGATCTAATATTACCTTTGCGATATCCTGTTGCATCCTCTCGATAGCTTCTTTCCTCGCCAGCTTCTTCTGCTGTTTCACGGCATCTTGGGAAATTGTCACGATTTGCTTGTAAAGCTCTTTCGTTATGTCCAGTGTTTGTAACACCTCATCGTATTTGGCTACTGCTATTTTCTGATCTGTGTTCAGTTCCCTTCCATTCTTCTGCAGATCCCTATAGGATTCTAGTTTCACCTAAATGTAACATAGTTCTGTTAGAATCTACTTCTACAACGAAAGACTATACACATAAAATATAGGTAGTTATTCACATGCAGGTGAACATTATTATCTATGTACACAGATACGTATTTCGCATAGATTTAAGTATAATTTACACAACACTTAGACATGTCAAATTTAATTTGTGCTACAGCAATTTTGATGAGGACGTAAATTTCAGTTCGCGATTTCTTACACAGTTGTAAGTTTCCAGAAAACTGATTCACGCGACACGTACCGTAAACGAAATGCCTCAAGCATTAAAACGTAGCCGATGCATTGAAATTTCACATTTGAATCGCGGACGTTCCGTCAAACAAAGAACGTGATTACACAATGCAATTTGCCGGTAGCGGCATCGAAAGCATGTCAGATAAAGTTTTGTGCACATCGTTAGAAGATACCGCCATGACACGAGGTTCGTATTCGCGAATTTCGGCGTTCGTCTGTGCGTGAGGGAACAATCCTATCTTCGGCAGGACCTTGATCAAATGCGTTCCGGCGTATAAATATTCTAGCGAGGGTTAGTTTATCATAGTAAAATTATTGGATACCGAGGAAATCTCAGGCGTGAGCACATGGCGTATCCAATGATGGCGGATCTCACCGTAAAAAGCCATCAAATGACAGATCATTTTCGCCTCGTTGTTCCTGGTTAGACAGATGAAATACTCACCTTACGCTTTTCAAGATTCCGTATCTTATGCTCGATAACGATAATCGCTTGGCGTATAGGTTCTACGGTCTCCGTAGAGGCCTGTTTCTCTAGTTTAGGGTTGGCAGAAGGCATCCTTCACGGGCAACAAACGCGAACTGGAAATCAGAATAGCAACGGAGGGAGACGTGGGGCACAGAGAGAGGGAACCGATCATAGTTAAACGCATGCTCATTTCGGTTTTATGCTTAACCTGTACCTCGTCAGGGCTGTAACAATCTTTTCTAGAGCATCTTTATATCAAAACAGAACTATTTCCAAATACAAAGCTTTCATCCCTGTATCTATCCATCATCAGTATTATAATACCGTTCCATTGAGACAGAAATGTTTATTAGATTTCTCTGAAATGAACTAATAACGATGTATCATACAGTTACAATACATAGAAAATGTATTTCTTCGCCCATACACATATATATATGTATGTGTTTCAGGAAAATTTCTATTTCTTACAGAATAAGTAATCAACTGTAAATGAAAATGTATAAGAATTTTGATTTCCTTCTCATTTCATTTTTACTGCAAAATAATCGAGCTGATAACACACAATGTTACAAGATTTTATTTTATTGAAAAAAATGATTAAGAAAACATAAATTATCCAAGTAATACTTTGATATAATATATATTTTTATGGTAATTCCTTTTTAAAGTGGTAGTAACAGAAATACTGTAACTTTTTCATTAAGAAACTGTACAGATCGTCGTAATGAAACTAATCGACTTACAACTGAACAAAGAAAATATACACTCTTTGATTTTAAAAGAAAGCACAGTATAACAATAATAGTAATTCCTTTCTGTAACATCGACAATAACATTTTTCAAGCTGATGCTACGTACGCACGTGGTTCGCAATTGTCTGTCAAAATTATCAAAAATATTGCTGCTTGAAACAAATGACTGAAGTTTTAATGCACTTCCAGTTAAAAATAAAATTATCTTAATTGATCCAAACAATAAATAAATAAACAACTGTATAACATGCTCTATTCTAATTATACAAACGTATATACATAGCACCAGCGTTTGTTCGATATGAAATGGCACATGTGTTTTAAAAGAAATTTGTTAACTGCATACTTTCCTTTATTGTTACTGCGTCAATGATCAAATGCCCGTTCCTTTTAGATTTCAAGTTAATAGAATTCTCCAATAATTTATTATACAACTCGGCAATCCGACGGTAATCGCTAATATGTATAATAACTTCAATTCGTTATTAGTACGTATATCAAAGTTTAAGTCATACAGGTTTGTCCAGTCATTTGTTCCTATTATATCGCATTTTTCTCATTTACAAATATACTTTGATATATCGTCTTTTAAAAATACATTCGTGCCACACACGCATTATCACCCCTCTTCTCTCGTTTTCCGAGAGATTGTTTTTAACAAAATTAGAAACATAGGAAAACTTAAAATTTAAACAATGATCATAACTATAATGAAACATATGACAATAGTTATAACGTAATAATAATATTGATAATGTAATTCGGGGTATAGTATTTAATGTACAAAAATGCGTTAATTAGCAATTATTACTTTATTTTTAGTGATCTGTCATTATCGATAGGCATCTATAGAAGCGTACTTAATAAAAAAAAGAAGAAACGTTTTATGATTAAAATTTACAACGAAACGTTGTCCCTTTTCCTAAAATTATATCGTAATGTTAGATAAAAATATCTATTGCAATCATCGAATCTTTAAATCCGCTACAAATTTAGTCTAAGAAAAACAGAAACGATCTTCTGAATCAGTCTAATCATACGATGTTTATCATTACATCTTTCCCATAGTTTGTTCAATCTAATACAGAAACTTTTGAAAAGGAAAATACGACATAAAAATTTTTTGATTATAGGGTAAATAGTAAAAAATGTGATTTCGGTCGTAAGATCAAAAAGACCTTAAAGCACTGATATTACCAGAATCTCTATGAAAATAGATACATTTTTTTATGCAACATTCATTCGTACACCATACACGATACGTTATTAGATTCGTAAGATTATTCACAAAAATAAGTTATCTAAAGTGATTTTAATAATAATTTGTTCGTGGATCGATAAAATGAGAACGGAATTGCTTTTGTAAATGTTACATTTCAATATGGAAGAACTTAGAAATTCAGTATCGAATTATTTAAGCAATGGAAGAATTAATATATGTATGTACTTAACGAATCAAAAGTGCAGAATAGAGCGATACTCCTAATTCTATCAAACGTATTTTGTACAATTGTTCTAAAGGTATCTATCGTTTTCTGAAAAGAGAACGACGCATTCTTTTAAAATATTGCATTCCTTAAAAGAATTATATCCCGGAATACTTAGGTTTCACGCACTTCATACATGATACTTCATAGCTGTATTATCCGCTTATATACACGTTGAACGAACATAAATATTGTTTGCATTCGTTAAAATCTTAAAGAAAGACGGAGAAGCTACAGTATAAAGGAAATGTGTAATGAAATTCACAGTTAAAATTAGAGGAACAAACGGTATAACAGTTCCTGCACGTTGCAGCGAATAGTGTGATGTACGCGATATTTTACACGAGGTTGCATCGACGATATACTCGTCGTATCACTTAACATCTTAAAATCATTTGTCTTTTCTAGTCAATAATTTGAAAATTATTTATCCGATTCGGATGTAGACCTTGTTATCATGTTCAGATCATCATGATAGAAATACTAGAACTAATTGTCTATGCACACGAACATTCGTAAATCTTTATCATTATGCTACTAAGATGGCAAAATTTCGACTCATTGCTAATTTATACGCGGGAGGGTGAATATTTTACATATGCCTGATACCCGGATCTCTTTACTCACCTTCCGCCACTGGCTATTTCTTATCGCTAAAGTAGAGCTACAGTTTCTTGATTATAAATTAACATTTAACTTCACCATTCGTCACAGCATACGGCATCTCGATTTAAACATTTACCATCCCTCAAAATACAATCTCAGATTGTTTGGTCTCGAGGCTGGCATTTAATTTCTTGTCCATTAAATCGATTAACCACTAAATCTTAATGGTCTTGAGACGTTCGATTAAACAGAACCAATTTCGATTATCATAGCACCACTAAGATGGCATACTGCTCATTTGCACGTCGCAAGACACTGTTTCAGAACTGTCTTCAGTTTTTTGTGTAGGCACCTGTGAATTGGAGGTATGAACAGTCACCTCCGTTGGTTGCGTTATCAAAACATTTTCACTTTTCTCCTCGACGTTATTTGTCGTACTGGGGAACATCGATCTCAAACTGGACTTTGTTTTGGCGTGATGCTCCAAATTATCTATTTCCGCCCAGATTGACCGCACGTCTTTAAACAACTAAAAGTAAATCGAATTTTGTTTGTCAATGATTCTAATTAACAGTGTATTAGTTAACAATACTTTATTACTTACTTGATTCAACCACGCTTCATCCGCTAATAATTCATTCAATATTATAGTAGTATCTTTATTTGGGTCTGCCACTCGTTTATCTGCCACTCTCCTTGCACATTCCAAAAACATCAAATACTTCTGATGCGCTACCTTATTATACAAGGCTACTTTCGCTTGGCATACCCGACATAACAAAAAATCCTACGAATTAAAAATACTAGTATACAATAACTGTTCTAATGACAACTAGCAAAGGGGACTTTAAGAATGTATTGACTACACAGTCAATCCTAAAAGTTTATGCACTTTAAAAACGCATTTTTTAAAAAGAAATCAGACGTCGGAAAAACATTGCTAATAATAAACAACAACAAAAAATTTTCGATTTTTCCGAGATTTTTCCAGGGGTACCCCTTCAGATTTTGCGAAATTTTCGTTTTTTGTCAATAACTCGCAAACCGTTGGACATACGGAAAAATTGCAAAAGACCTTTCTTGTAGAGGACGACGAGATCTACAATTTCTGTATAAAAACTTTACGCTATTATCAATAGTTAACGAGTTATTTGCAAAAAACTGTTTTTTCGTTTTTTGTAAATTACT